AGGGGGGGGGGGGGCAAGCAGTGTTTCATCAGAAGAAGGAAATTGCTTTTTCTCCACTGAAACAAGATTTGGCATCAAAATCCCTCATAGTATACCTCTTAGAGGGAGGAAGTGGTCCAGAATTTGTTATTGCAGAGATAACCACACATCTGTTCATATGTTACCAGTGTGTGCTGCCTGGGAGGATCATGTAATATACTGCCAGTGAGGATAATGTAAAGTTTTGCGTTTGAGGATCATATAATGTACTGCCAGTGAGGAGCATATAATGTACTGCCAGTGAGGATCACATTATGTACTGCCAGTAAGGATCATGGTATGTACTGCCAGTGAGGATCATGTAATGTACTGCCAGTGAGGACCATGTTATGTACTGGTAGTGAGGATCACGTAATGTTCTGCCAATGAGGATCACGTAATGTTCTGCCAATGAGGATCATATAATGCCAGTGAGGATAATGCAATGTACTGCCAGTGAGGATCTTATAGTGTACTGCCAGTGAGGATCATGTACTGTACTGCAAGAGAGGATCTTGTACAGTAATATACTGTCAGTGTATTACCAGGATGTTGTAAGGGGTCATGTTTGTTTTTCTCCTGTTTTTCCAAACATTCCCCATGTTTAATCTGTATAGGTTAATGTATTTGTACAGTTATTTGCAGAATAACACAAGAGCAGTCCAGATGAAGTATTTAGATATTATTTTTATACTAAAAGGCTTGAACTGAAGTCAAAGTAGATGAAAAAAATTCTAATTTTTATCATTTCTACTCAAAATCTTGACTTTAAACATTTTTAGTTATATGAACGTAAAACAAAATAATCCCAGAGTGAGCGAATGCAAAGTGGTGTCTAGTGACTTTTTCTGTGATAGATTTTACCATAGTTGGAGAAAATATGGTATAGTGTTATGTGTATGGAAGAATGCTGGTTTAACTTCTGTGACAAATGATTAGGTCATGGTGTGAGCTACTAGTCTTATGAACTTTGGCATAAAAACAAGTTTCCAGGCCACTTATGTAGTTTACATACAATAAAATAATAAAATGTTAAGAGATCAGGTTTCACTAAATATGCCAATTTTTACTGTCTGAAAAAAATCTGATGTAAGTGGCACAGAATGTAGAAGGTAAATGTTTCAAAGGGTCATTTTTGTTGCCTACAAGACACTAATATATATATTATATATTGATAAAGCTGGGTTAGTTAAACAGTTACATGGATATCCAAAAGTGAACATAAAGTTGATAAGAGTTTGAGATAAAGAGCACTTTTATCTCATTTCTTGAGGTTATATATTGTCTGCTGATGGATTGTGTAATTTTGACAAAAATGACTGGTTGCAGTCCTTAGTCCTAAATACCATGCAGCATTAACAAGGGATCTTTACTTAATTCCAAACACCTCGAACATTTAAAAATCATTTTTGTTCGATAGATGAGTTTTATGAATTCACCAACAGTTTTTTTTTCACATATGTCCAGCTTTTGTGAACTACCAACACGAGTTTCTCAAAACCTTTGAAGAAAAACTTTAAAAAAAAATATCTGTAAAACAGTCTTAAATAGTTTTAGATAGAATGCAAGCATACACCATTATGTCAACAAATCATTGGAAGTCTTAGGGACATTGCTCATGTTAAGTCATTAAAGTTAGTGATTTGAATAAAATAAATGCTATTTTTTATTTAAACCTGTTGTGGAAAGTGGAAAAATATAACCACAGCATCTGACTCTTATCCCACATAAGTAAAAACTGTGCTGTTGTTGGCTTTTCTTGGTATATATGCCATATTTGGGATGTAATGAAAGAACAAAAATCATGTATGAGCACTTTTGAGCTGTCCCCTGATAATAACATGTAGTTATTATGTCACAAGCATGAGCCTAGATAATGAAAAAGATACAGAATAACTTTAAGAAATAATGTTCATTGGATCAAAACTATTGAGTGTTTACCTTTGAAATTGATATACTTGACAAATAGGTTTTAAAAAAACTGCATGCTTTGTAGTATTTATAACTTTTAACCAGGAAGTTTTTTTTTTTTTTTGTTTAACCTACATGTGTCCCTTCAAAATAAGTATGTTGTCTAAATAGGTACATCTCATGTATTCTCCTGATTTTTTATAACTTCAAAGTTACACATCTCCTTATTCAGAATTATAATGAGACATTTATTTTCAAAAAGGACACCAAAATAAGTATTAGAAGTCCGTAGTACAACTTAGAGCTAACCACTACCAGGGTTGAAGATATTAAAGGCAAACTTTCCAGAAGCAAGACAGAGAATCAAAGAGTGTCAATTTATCTAAAGACATATCTGAGAATATGTTGTGAAAAATCAATCTGTCACCCTGGTAGAGGGTAACTTTGCATAGATATATAGATGCATATTCTGACTTATAAGGTACAGTTTTGTGGAATCAGCATTTTGCACAACCCCATATTTGGCTAGTGTAACTTGAAAATAATATTCATGACCCCCTCTCTTTGTACTAACCCATTTTAGTTAATTTTAGATTCATTTATTTTATTCCAATATATTTTGAATTTTTTTCTGGGCACACATTTATGTTCTTGTTAGCAAGACAAGGATATTTGTTTTAACATCTTTATAAGCTAAAAAAAAGGTGATCTGAATAGCTGTCTACAGTATTTGAAGTTGCTTCAGAGATTCAAGTAAAATGCTGATATATATGAATTGTGTGAAATAGTATTCAACTCAGGTATGTTATCCTTAAATGTCTGTATTATAATGTAACTTTCCTTTTGGGTTTCACAGAATTTAATGTGTGCATTTACAATATGATTATAGATACATCAATTTATCATTTGCTGAGAT